GATAGGGGTAGCTAGTGGAGAAAGCTAGGCTTCCTTCCAAGAACTTCAATAGATCTGATAGTGCATTTAATTATCTTCAGTTGAGAGCGAGGGTCGTGGCATTTAAAGAACAATTACATTTCTATTTTGAAATAGTACTTTACTACTTTAGGATGGCTATCAAATATAGAGAGGATTATATTACATATTTAATAAAAAGAGTTCTCTAATTAGAATCATAGGAAATATGATGAAGAAAATATGAAAGTTGCATTAGGAATTAGGAACACTATGCAGAATGTATCAGTTTTGGGTTGTGATTCTAAACTAAATTTCCAATTAAAAAGTTCATTTGATGCATGGGCCAATTCTAAACGGAAAAAGGAGCTAAGATCAATTTTGTGTTTTTATTAAGATGACTACGTTTTTTATTGGATAAGAAGGAATTGCTTAAAAACTATTCAAGATAATTAAATGCTAAGTACAACATCGTTAAGTAGATAATTTTTGCTAAAGGAAACAGTGATTAAACTTACTAAGGTCAATGATAAAAGGGACTTTCAGGTGGTCTAATATGGCCGCTCAACAGAGATTTACTGCTCGAGTATGAGTACTGTGTCTGCAGCAGTACAGTGGCCGTATTAGACCTGAAAGTCACTTTTATGATTTACCTCAATAAATTTATTTTTTTTAAATTTATTTATTTATATGATATTTACAACTGTGTACAAAAAATACATCTAGTAAATTCGCACATGGATATTGCTATTCGGACATGAAACACATGTTGTGAAACTACCCATTGGTAGCACTATAATAATATGTCTATATTAGGAGATCACTTGGCCATCTCCTTTTCAGACGCCTCAGAGGGTTATCAGGAATTGAATAGGAAGCAAGGTTAGAAACAAGAGGGTTGGGATGGTTATGAAGTTTATTATGGAAGGATAGGTATCTGGATTCGGCCAAATCGGAAACATTAAGGTCATTGTGGATGGTTTTATTTGTAATGTTGTTGCAAATGTATTTATTTGCTGTATTTGCTGTACTGGCGCATTTTTGTATAATTGTCAGTTGGTTTATATTTATATAATATAAGTTTATTGTTTTGATTAAAATACATTTCTACTCCGTAGTTAGAAAAGTAGAATACTACGTGGTACAGACCCCTTTTTATCAAATTATTAACATCCGGCTGAAAGTTCGTAAATAGCTTCACCTCATCGTAACCTACAACTATTTCATTTATGGAAACTCTAGAAATTGGGACGTTTTCAATCTGGAGGGGTGCAAACTTTATCTATTTCATTAGATACTTAAAACTCATCAGGTGTATTAAATCTGAACGTCGGCAAAATTTGTCTATTTAATTTGGTACTCATCTGCTTTCCACTTAAATCGTAAGATAATTTGAGCACAAAGTCGAGAAAAAAATTGTCATTAAAAAATATTGAGCCGTTTAGCGTGACCTTACACTCCTCCAACCCCAAATTTTTGTAGGCCAATTTTTTTTTTTAATCGATTTTGTAATCAAATCATCTTATGATACAAAGTGTAAAGCAATAGAGTATTTACGGGTTTCCAGTACCTATTTAAATAGACAAAGTTTGCCGAATTCCAAATTGAAAATGGCCCCAATTTCGAGAATTTTCAATATAAAATATTTGTATGTTAAGATGAGATGAAGCTATTTACGAAGTTTCAGCTGGATGTTAATACATTGATAAAGGATTTGTACCACCGACTTGAAAGTAAAAGTTGTGTGATTCGCGTACTTGTACTAGGTAAGGAAAGTATTGCAATCGTGTCAAATTTCCGACATGCGGTTTTCGACGGATCAATACGTTTCACAGTCCCCTGAGTCCGAAAAACACATTTTTAGCCGTTGGTCTGTCTGTCTGTGCCAAGATTTTCTCGGGAACTACTGGACCGATTTCATTGCTTCTTTTTTTATTTTGTAGGGTTTTGACTACCGATGCCTGTGACAGAAATTCGGCGCTCCATGCGTAATAGGTTGCGCGCAATAAATGAAAAACACGTTTTTCTATAGAATGTAGCTCAAAAACGGCTCTAACGATTTTGATTAAACTTTTCTATAATGTTCTAATCATTGTCCTTTCAATTTTTGTATATGGACTAAATTCCCGAAAAAAATCAGAAAAAAAAGTTATAAAGAAAAGAAAAATTTTATGGGGTCTAACTCGCTAAGTATATATTATAAGGTAAAATTTATAATAAAACTTTTGAAAGGTAATTAAATTACCCTGAGTCCGAAAAACACATTTTTAGCCATTGGTCTGTCTGTATGGGCCGTTTAGCCTATCGTTTGAAAGGTAATGAAATTCCCTACAAAGACATATAAAAATCGTTCATTTTGGACAACTGTTAACGAAGTTACAGCTATTCAATTTGCAATGAAAGATTACGAGTTTACTGTAGCCCGCATCACACAATCTTCAGTATTTCCTCTACTTTTAATAGAAATTATTGTTTGACAATACTAAGCTATAGCAAAAAGTTATAGATCAGCAATATTAGTGAGTATCGAAATTTTACACTGATCTACCTTAAGCCGGTTTCATTGTCTTAGTTTTATCTAATAAATTGTACGCAAATCTTTTGTTTGATCAATTTTCAGGAAAATAAATATAGTTCAATTCTTTTTTGTTTCTTCATTAACATATGTAAAGATATGAAAACTTTTCTGAAATAGGTAGGAAAGTCGTGTGAGTGGACATACCAGATTTTTTTTTTAAATGCAAATGTGGCCAAATTACTTTCAATTTTTTTATGTTATTATTAATTATTATAATTTTTAATTACATTATTACTTTATATTAGCCTCAAGAGGTTCCCACACTCGTAGCCTCGCCAGCGAGGTGTTGACGTTACTAGGGTTACAAGTGGGAGAGCCTCTGAGACCGGACCACCGCGGAGCTCTCTATAAAAAGCAGACACCGGTATAAGTGCTATATTCCATATAGGATACCTCCAAGTTTCCTGCTACATTCTTCTCGAAGGTCGTCCTCTTCGGCAGTCAGCTGTTCTCTCTTACATACCGCTTTACATCGATTTAAACATATTTATTTATCGATATATATTTATATTTATCTACGTTGAAAATGACGCCATCAGCTACTAAACTCACTAGATTATCCTATTAAACCTCTCTATTTTAGAAAAAAAGGTTTTTGTGATGATGGTGTAATATTTTATATACTAAAAAATAGGATGGACGGTAACGAAGACACTACGCTTCTTATTTCCAGAATTATTTTCCCCATATTATGGTCACAAATTAGCAATAAGAATAATTACAATCCTATATATTATTTCTAAAAGGTGTTTTTTTTTGTCGGTATACCATAACTTCGTCAATTCTTGATCAAATCAAATGATTGACCACTCATTTTGAAGATATTCTTCTCCTTCATATGCTAAAAATAGTCCTATTCCCCCGAAATTTCTTGGAAAAAAGTCATGAAGGAAAAGAAACTTTATTTGCTAATAAATCAAAAAGTATGCATTTTTTTCTTCATTGTACCCATGATAATTAGAAAGATTACTAAATTAAAATATTACTAGATTACAAAACAAAAAAAAAAAGATCGTAAAAATCTGACAATTAATAACAACGATACAGTCCATTAGTTTTGATATACTTAATAATATCCTCCGATTTAAAGATATTGCATTTAGGAACAGAATAATCTGGTACATTTTTTTTCTTGGCTGATATAGTAACTCTATTATTTCTTAAAGACATTTGGTTGTTCTTACATGTTATTTTTTTTAATAATTTAGAATATCCCATGATCTCGGCATTATTTTGTCTATAATACAGTCAGCGTTTAAAAATATCTCCTATTATTTGTATTATGTTTAATCGAAAATTGTTATCGACCAAGAATAAAATATTAATTTGTTCCTTACATAATACATAGTAACTACTTATTTCCAGATTGTTTTGCTATTTCTTCATACAAAATTTTCTGCGAAGTTTTCACACGGGCCAACTAGTTATATAATAATATAAATTGGCGATAATGCGATGAATATTATATATTTTACAATTAATTAAAAATTTGTCCGAACTTGTGGTTTGATTCCGTTTTTTTTTTATTTTAATGAAAATAATACAAGCAGAACTTTTTTTTTTTTTGTTCCTCCCTACCTCGCCCAATACGGGATTTTCCCGGGCCGGAGGGTGAGGGCGGGGAATTTAAAATCCCGTTTGGACTTTGGCCATTGAGCGTGATATTGGTTGAATCTCCTGTATTACATTATCAAAAAACATCAATTCCTAATAAAGTACTAAAATCAGAACACTCCATGTGTTTTTTTCTTTTCTTTTTTTGTTTTTTTTTAATTCTAAGAACTTTCAGGAAAAACTTGGTCACACCTAGTTGGGGGGGAGGGTGGCCGAATGGGCTAAAGCGTGTGCACAGCACCCCTCGGCCCGGGAAATTGCTCGTTTAGCCTAAAAGGCGAGGTAGGGAAGAACAGAAAAAAAAAATAAAAAAAAAGGTCACACAGTTGAGCATGAAATTAGACAAAGCATCTTCTTGCACTACCATTAACCAAAAAATAGTAATAGTTTCGTTTTTTATTTATTTATTTTTTTTAAGACTTCATAGACCTCAATTATTGATTTAGTGTGTTGGTACCTAAATAAATCCATATCAAATTTCTTCATTTGTGATAACGCTTTACCTACATATTTTCTTTGACGCTAACCTGTAATTAAAAAACGGATCATCCGCTGTAGAACTTGTATAAAAGTATAAGAAAAATTGAAATTAATGATTCTTTTTTTAATATTTTAGCCAGAATCATATTTTATTGTCTTCATATTCTATATAGTTATTTGTAGTCATCTTAGATTTAATTCAGAGTCCTACTTCAGAATATGTAATTATGTTTTGTAATAGATGAATCGCGTAAAATTTATCCATACATGAATAGCAAATGGGGGAGGCGTACGTGATGGAAAGTTTCATATATTTTTTCGGTCTAATCTATCAAGCCACACTCTCACTTATTACTTTCACAAGATGCGACTTAAGGACACTGGCTCCGTTGCATTTGGAAAAGCATCCTTTCTCGTGACGTCGTAGATCTCGCTCAATTTGATTGGTCGTTGGTAAACCTCCCACACTCCCCTCCCTCGAAACCACAGCCTTGTAAATCCCGTTCCCTAACAACCTATTCCCTGTTTGCTTCCTCATCCCATTCCTAATCCATTGGGCATTGGTCCAGCTGTCACCAGTCCAGCATCCAGGCTCTCTATGTATGCAGCTTTCCCAAGTTTAATGACATTATTATCTTCACTACTAACACACTTCTTCAGCTTTCTTTACCGTGCAATATGTTCCTTCTGTTGTATTGCTTAGAATATGAAGTGGGAAAGAAAAATAAAATTTATTAACTAAAATAACATCATATAAATCATTCATGATTTAGAATATATTCTTTAGAATGTTCTATGGTATTCCTTATTGCTGAAATCAACGTGAAAATTAGGACAACACTCAATTTACTAAGGATTTAACAAAGTAAACTTATCGTGATAAATACAAATAAAACATTTAAAATTAAAATGAAAAAAATAAATTTATTTCCTTTTTAAGTATATATGTACGTAATCCGCCATAAAATGTATACTTTTTCAGCTACGCGGTTTTTTTTTTCTGTATCTTCATGAGGATTACATATATACTCTCAATTGTTAATAAAAAACTATCAATGATATGAAAAATAGTAGAGTCTTGGCCGAGATTTCATTTAAAAAATCCTTAATGTAATTAGATGTGCTAGATGATTTACTGCAGAGTTTTGTTCGCAAACATTCGCCAGTGTGGATGAGCCTATAGCAAACTCATTTCACATCTGAAATTTCAATTTCAAGTTCAACCTTTTTTTTTTTTTGCCAACATCAAAATTGTATTATGAGAGAGAGCTAATTATAATAATTTATTTTCCTGATTTGAATACAATGGTATATTAAAATAAAACATGTGTTCGTTTTACAAGTGGCTGTATCTTTGCTAACAAAGGTTCAATTTTGATAATTTTTTTTTTATTATTTTCAATAATGAACCATTGTAATCGACCAAAAATTCAAAACTTACCCCTCCTTCAAAATTTGAGGTTTTACGTTTCAGGATACGTATAATTCGAAAAAACAATAAATTTTTTTGTCCGTCCGCCGTCCGCGTATTTTTTCCGAAACTACTTGACCGATTTTTTTCAAATTTGGATTTAAAGTCAGAGTTCACCCGAGGATGATTCCCCTAAATCGGTATTACTATCAGCATTTTCCTTTCAAGATGGCGGCCGAAAAACCAATGTTGCTATAGATTATACCGCCTAAACGAATGTACTGATTTCAATGAAACTTGGTTAAAGTCTTCTTCTCGTTGTACTTTAAATTTATCTATATAACATACTTCAACGAAAAGAAGCTGGAAGAAAAGTTACGAGGGGTGGTAAGTTAGAATCCCAATAACTCAAAAAGTATTTACTTTTTTGTCGATATTGAGATTAGATGTTTCAAAGGTATTTAAATTTCCTAAAAAAAAACGAAAAAAATTCACTGAAATCAGAGCACTATTAGTAGATATATCTCGATTTTAAAATATTTTTGGTTTATTATTTTCAGTAATGAACCATTGTAATCGACCTTAAAATTCAAAAACTTAATCCCCCTTCAAAATTTGAGGTTTAATCCTGAGGTTCAGGATTTTTCCTTATATAGGAAATTTGGAAATCACTCAAAGTATCTAAATAAGGAACTTTGTTCCTGCCCATTGGTTATACGAACGATATTCACGGGGAGATAAGGTAGAATAGTTTGCTACGGTTTTACATTTTGAAAAGGCATTTATTAAGCCTTACTAAATAAGCGGTTATCCAGCGTAAAAATAATTTTTCAAATCGGACTTATAGTTTGTAAGGTTAACACGGTTGGGCCATCTTTGTAAGTTAGGTAGTTCATTTACCCTACTCATTATTTGTCATACACAAGCTATCTATTGCACTTGCTGATGTAGGTTCGATTCTTTTAATTGGACGTGAAGAATGATAAATTAAATCAATTAATGATGTAAAATTAACTATAGGTAAGTGTAGTGGGGGGAGGGACTGGCTTTAGAGACAGGTGAGGAAGGCTCCATGGCATGCAATCAAGCGGCACTCTAAGAACCCCGGTAATTAGATTGTCTGCGTAGTCAATATTTCATTAACGATGGAAGGAGCTCTTTTGGCTTCAGCTAATTATCTTAGGAGGCGCTTCAGGATATCTTGTTAGCCCGTGTATCCTTTTGATTTTATTGCATGTACTTTCAAATTCCTATAGTTGATGAAGATTTGCTTCAAAAATAAAAACGGGAAAAGTCCTAAATTGTTCCGCTGCTTCTTTTCTAAGAAAATTGTGTTAAAGAAAAGAGGTGGGGGCTACCCCTATCTTGACAGTGAAGACAGGGCTACGTCATTGCCTGTAAGCGCCATCTCATACCTGTCCAGGTTCAAAACTTCCAAGAAATATCTTTTATTTCTCTCTCATCCTGTCGTCTCTTTGAGTCTCTGAGTAAAAGTATATAGTTTAAAATTTATTTCATTAGCTTCTATAAATGAAAGTTTATAAAGTAGAGCTGAGAGAAACTTTAAAAGAGTTTGGCATCATTATATGTCACATTGTCGTAGTCACATGCCGCATCCTCCAGTCTCCACCACTCTTCTGAGAAAAACTATCATTTCTACTTTTAGCTAAACATGAAATTTTCTTAGCTTTATTTTATTTAAAAATGCAATCTCAATATTATATAAGTTCTTCATCACTTGAATTTTATTTCAGCTCAAATTTACGCTCTTTTTTATTTCCATTCTTCTGTAGTGGCTGATTGGATTGGGCTAATTATAAAGCCATTTAACACGAGTAAGAATTTTAATCAAACACCTGATAAAAAATATATAGATAAAATATATAATAATATAAAACTTTTGATCAAAGAATTCAATAACAGTGAAAACTGCCGTAAAGTAACTTTCCCTGGAACACGTGCTAGAAAAATAAGTTAACTTATCGTCTGTTGCCGCTTTAGCTCAATCCAGATACCTGTCCTTCCATAATAAACTTCTGAACCATCCGAACCCTCTCGTTTCCAACCTTGCTTTCTCTTCTATTCCTGATAACCCTCCGAGGCGTCTGAAAAGAAGATGGCCTCGGGTCCTTCTAGTATAGAAATATAATTGGAGTGCTACCAATGGGTAGTTTCCCTTCATGTTGTACATGTCATATTACTTGTTCATATTTACTTGTATTTATTATTAATTACAGTTGTAAATTTCGTTAATAAAAAAAAAAAAAAGAACTTATCGTCAATTTGAGCAAAACTCAAAACCCATGAATGGTGGACGGATAATATTTTACTATTCATTTTCGGAATCTAATATTAATATCGTGAAAATTTAAATTTTGGGGGGAAATGTTACAATTAAAAAAAATTCTAGATGGGATGAAATGCTGGACTCAGAATAAAATATATTTAACGTTCGTCGTTAGAAAGAATGTGATGAAAAACACTTCCTATTTACTAGTTTAGTAAATATTTTAAGAGAAATATCCTTCAGAGCATATATTTAAACTTTTACAAATTTATGAAACCTTTCAGCTTAAAGAAAACCGTCGCATTAACAAAGTTGGCGATTATTCAGGATTAGTAGTTTTGAGGCTTCTTGTTTTAAGTTTCTTTTTTTCTTGAAGTTCTGGTCGTTTCGACAGATCAATTTATTTTTCTCTATATTAAATTACTAAGCGTGTATATATTTGTAACACTTATATAATTTTTTTTCATGTATTTATTTATCGTCAGTTCCTTTTTTACCAACAATAAAAAGGAATTCAATATTCGATCCATTCGATAACTATGAATTAGTTGTTTAACAAAGAATAATGATTTTCTTTGTATATCTTTCTTTATTATTATTTACTTTTAAATGCATTGTTACGTCACTAGTGTTGCATGGAGTTCATTGTTATTAGCTCGTGGTTGAGATCCCATTTTTTTCAAATTATTAACATCCGACTAAAACTTTTGAACGCCTTCATTTTATCTTAAGCAACCTATTTTCCATCTACGAAAATTCTCATAAATGGTGCGTTTTCTCATTAAATTAATTAGGTGCAAAAGTTTCATAAATACCCATTTGCTTTCCACTTGAATTGTAAGATAATTTGATCATAAAAACGAAAAAAAAGGTTACGTCCAATGTTTTAGTAGGTCACTTTTGTTCTCGACTTTGTGATCATATTATCTTACGATTCATTTGGAAAGGAAATATGTGTTCTTGAGTTTTTGTCCCTAATTAAATAGACAAAATTTGTCGATTTCTAGATTGTAAATGCTCAAATTCCGAGAATTTTCATAAATAAAAAAGTTGTATGCTACCATGAGATTAACCTATTCCCTAAGTTTGGGTGGATGTTAATTATTTGATAAACAGGGGTCTGTACGACGGACTATATACTTTGAGCATTAATATGTATTAATGATAATCAAAGACGTGCTTTTGACACAGGAAATATTTCATAGTTGTAGTAAATAAAAAAATTATTTCAAATATTCTTACCATAATTAAAAATAGGTGCCAGGTGTTTACGAGACATATTTGTTTGTCTTTTTTTGCAAAAGGCCTGATCAAGTCTTGCTTTCCAAGGAGCACAACTTCCCACGTTGTCTGACCCCCAGTGAATACCTTCGGGTAATTGCTTTTTGAACTAAATACATGAGCGTATTTTTTAAGACATTGACTTCAATATGATTAATCGACGTAAAATTTATTCATGAATTAATTTATAAATGCCTGTTCAATGGTATTTATTATTTTCCATTATGGTAGCGTGTGGAAAAATTAAGAGTTACACAAATTCTTATTTTTTTTTTAATTTATAATTATTATCCGAAGGATTTTTTTACTGTCATTTTGTTATTTGTTGTGTTAGTTTTACTGTTATTTATTATTTTTTACTGTTATTAACTTCAAACATCCTCAAAATTCAAAAGTTTTATGTAACAAGTCTTGCTACACAAAGACTTGGACATCCAAACTATTTCAGACAGTGCAACTCAATACTATAAAAAATTTCACCAGAGACTGACTTACAACATGAACACATCAGCCTAAACATTTATTTCCACTAGTGTTGCCCAACTGCGAGACCGAGATG